TGTCTAAAATTCTTTTTCTTTCATTGAAAAGTTCTGTAAACATATAAGCAGAGACAAAAAGAACACTGTGTGAAAGCACAAAAACCATCTCCCCACTTTTGAAGAATTTATGGAAGCAAACTAGATAAAATATGAGGAGAATGGTATTTAAAGGAAAAAAAACCAACAAACCCAAATATTTCTTGATCTCTTATAACATGTACTAAAGAAACCCATCCAGTTTCTTCCCAGAGGTTTACTTTAGCTCTAAATTCAACCCCTCTGCCAGGTCTTCATTAGCAATGATGAAGTAGTTTGATTTCTCTGTGTCATTAATAAGCACGAGCTCAAGTCTCATTTCTAAGCCAGACATATCAGGAAATTAATGCTGGCTGTTTAACAAGCTGTACTTCACCCATTTACACTTTGTTACACTTTGTAACACCACTAATTCTGGCCCTGCAATAGAATAGGTATTAAACCCTGGAATGCCGTGCCTGTCAGGGGGCATATTCCTTCTCCACTTCCAATTCACTCCTGATGCAGTGCAGGATACTCAACCTTATTCCTTCTGAAAGGGATACACGAGAACTTCAAACAGCCTCAGTATAACCCACACCAAGTGCACCTACACAAAACATTACTTTGGGAAATTTAAAGAAAATATGCTTTGATCTAGCAAAGGAAAAGTGCTCTGACAGTTTCTCAAATCATAATGTTGAGTTCCTAGAAATATTTAAAAAGGAGAACATAAAGTTAGTGATCATAATTTTGGGACTAGTCTAGATTTATTCGTTCTTCCAGAACCTCTTGAAATATTAGGAAGAACAAAGGAAGTGAATAAAAATTTAACTTCCTAGGCTTGAATTCTGAGTATTCATAGTTTATTTTCTACATCTTATCATTCCTGACCACATGGATTTAAATGGAACATCTTAGACATCTCCTCTGGCTTCTCATGACATTTGGAGACAAATGGTGAATGGGACAGTTGTTTGAAGAAGTCATAAAGGAGATCAGGAAAAGGTTCTAGGAAGAAAACTAATCAGCATCCCACAGCTGGGCCTCTTCCTGTGCTTTGAGCAAGTTCCATGGATTTACTTGCTTAAGAGAGGTTGGTTTCTTCCTTCTCACTCTTTAGCATCTCAAGGCTGGCAAGTTCATAATATTTTTTGTGCTTCAGAGGGCTTTAAAAGAGAGGCCAGACTCTGTCTGCAGCTCTCAGGAGCACCAGAGGCCATACACAGCCTGCTTTATTCCCATGGCATTCCCTGAGCAAGGGCATGATGTGAGCTCTGGATCACTGTCTTCTGTTCCTCAGCCTCAGTTCTCATTCACAACCAGGAAAGGGGTTTTGGGGTTTGTTCGGTTTTTTTATTCAGGGTTTTTTGCATTCACACAAAATTGAAAAATTTTTTGGACTGAAGGACCCTACCTACCTTTCAAGTGCCCTGTGGATACAAATTTCTCTCTGTCCAAATAAGCACATAATACATATATCCATTACTGCGTGTCATCAATACATAATTTTATCCCACGGCAGGATAATTTCAATTTCACAGAAGGAGAAAGAAGTGGATTAAAACGGCCCAGAATCAAAATTCCCAACTGAATAAACCTTGTTTTCACATTTATTGAAGGGAGAAAATACATTTCTGTGAGCTTGGTCAGGAAAAGGAATAATGTGTCAGATAAACAGAGCATCAAAGAATGCTAAATATTTTAAAATAGGTTGCTTAGTACAAATATTATTTCACAGGGGTTGTTTTCTATTGTTTTATGTGGGTTAACCTTGGCACTGTTAAAAGATGCCAAATGTTTGTTTAAAGAACACTATAGGGTAAATAAAGTCATGACGACACTAAATCTGTTTCAAATGTGGAGTTATAGTCTCATTTCCTGTATATTTTAAACTTGTGATATGTGGTCATATAAATATTAGAAAAGGAGAGGGTCATTATAACCACAGTAATAGGAACATGAATCCAGTACAGTAGCTTTGAACAAAAATACAAATGCAATTTTTAGAACCTAATTGAAAAATGGCAGCAGAGATTCTGCTACATGGGAAAAATATATTATCCCACCTTAGGCTGTTATAAACGAGGAGAAAAAAACCCCACAGGTGAATCAGGTATTCGAATGTATTCTATAGCTCTTTTTTTACACAGAAAGCCACTTATGAAATTTAAGAAAGGGTATTTTTCTGTTCAAGGACTACTAGATAAAACGTGCAGCACACGGTACGTGTATCCTGAGAAAAATTCAGACAGAAAACACAGAAACAAGGAGGGGGGGCGGGGGGGTTGTTACATTTTTTTCTCCTTGTTGTCACTTTGTCGAGTCCTACTACACATTTGGTTTACACCAAGCAGAACATGAAAAGTAAACCCCAAACACAACAAAACAAGTTCTTTTTAAAATTATTATTTCTAAGGAATCAAGGGGTGAAAAAGACAGAAGATTGAGTTACTCAGGTTCTGCAATAAAATTATGGGGGGAAAATAGAAGTCTTACAAAGACTGGGATGAATAAAATCTTTTCAAAATGGGACCTCATGTGATCTGGATGCTTTTATTTACATTCTGGGCTCTAAAGAGTGATTGCACGAGGCATCTCCTCTCCACACTTACTTCTCCCCTATGGATGAAAGGAGAAATACACTGTAAGGATCCATATCCATCAAACATTATGGGATATGCTGTCCAGTAAGAGACTCCAGCCTAGCAAGGAGAATAGAAGTAGTAGTCAGCTCTCAGGGAATATTGCAAAATGATTTTGAATCAAAGTGTTTCAGACTCCTAATAAAAATTGAAAATACATCAGTTGAGGCCTGTTAAGTATTTCAATGAAAAACTACAATTTCTATAAAAAGATACAATTAAAAAGATTACAGAGTATCTAATTACATAAATAAAATGTTTCAATAGCACTACTTATTCTAGCTGTTCACTAAGTATTCATGAAAATAATCACATTTACATTTTTTCATTTCTCTCAGTGGAAGCCATAAGTGCCAGATGAAGTTAAAAGCTCCCAGATTAGGTGTTCACCTACACAGAGACAGAATGAAACAGAGCCTTTATTTGGTATTTAATCTTCTTTTGAGTTTTCTGGGACATGTGCTCACTGGATGTTATCACATGGCCTGCAGAAAACCCATCTTCTGTTCCCTCTTAAGCTACTGCTGAGGGAATTGGAAAAAAATTGAACTTGTGACCTCACACTAAGTACTTCTTATATGACCATCTTTCATGCAGCATTTAATAAAGTCACTGGTGGAGTTTTCCAGTACTCTCAAAATATTTTATCTGTTTTAATTAACCTGAATATATTTACTCTTCTCCCTGTGACAACTTGTGCCAAGCAGCACATGATCCTTTCTCACTTTCCGAGATGTACATGTACATGTACTACAGGCTCGTGAAAGTCTTGCCTGTTTTTCTGTTTTGGAACAATTATCAGTCATTTGATCATTAGTTTCAACTGCATTCTGTGAGGAGTAGCAATGCAGAACAGCAACTGCAAAATCGTTGTCCTACTTTTGCTTGTCCCAGTTCAATGTAATGACTTTCTCCTCCAGTACCCCCACATCTCACACTTCTCCCACCCAACCTCCTCCTTAAATCCCACCTGTCTTGCAAAATCTCACATCACGTTTCCAGCTTATTTTACTTCCACATCAGCTCACCTGCTTAGGGGGTGCATTCCTGTTTTATTACTACACATATAAAAAATTGGTGTGCTATTATGAGACAGCTGCTTATGTTTTGGAAGATTTTTGTATTTATTGTGTGGATATTCATGAAGATTTTAGTTAGCCATTTATGTGGTTTTAGGTGCTTGGGTTTTCAAAATATTGATCCTGACAACAATTTTGCACGTGATGTTAAGTATTTGCCTGTTTAGCCTTATTTATTTTCCTTTATCGGTTTTGTTTTTTTTTTTTGAGGAAAAACAAGCTGAAAGTTGCTCAGTGAGTCAGGATACTCACTTTGGAAACACATACAAGGTGCTCTTTGAGGAGATGCATTGCTTCAGGAGCTGAGGGTATGCCCTAGAATTTGAAAACAAGAGGAAACAAAACATAAGGGCACCACACACGTTACTAATACCACTGCCTGGGGGGGCTGGGGGCACTGGGGCTGTTTTTCATCCCCTTTCCCACACATTTTCTGCAGGAGCTGGATGTGCCCTTTGCCCAGGGCCAGCCCAGGGGCACGTCGTGGGCCCAGGGAGCTGCAGGTAACAGGATGGGTCAGGTCGGCAGGGACCACTGCGGGGCATCTGCTCCCACCTCCCTGCTCCAGCAGTGCCATCCCAGAGCACACGGCACAGGATCGTGTCCTGGTGGTTCTGGAATCTCTCCAGTGAGGGACACTCCGTAGCCTCTCCGGGCGATCTGTCCCAGTAAAGAAGTACAGTAAGGAAAGCTCTTTCTCGTGTTCAGGTGGAGCTTCCTGGGCATCAGTTTCTGCACCTTGCCTCTTGTTCTGTTGGTTGGCACCACCAGGCAGAGCCTGGCTCTGTCCTCTTGGCACCCCCGCTTCAGGTACTTCTACACACTTATAACGCCCATTAGAAGGAAAATAAAAAGGCAAGGGGAGGCAGGGACAGGACAGCGCCGATCCCGCTGTACTTGCGCCACAAGCCCGCGACGTGAGAGAGAAAACAACCAGCTCATGGCCCGCCCGGCTTATCAGGCAGCGCGTGCGGTGACGTCACATCCCCCGCAGCCAACGGCCGCCTCTGTTTACTTCGGGCGGTGTTGCATATTCATGATGCAGGTCCCGCTCCTGCGGTGACGTCACACCCCGCAGCCAATAGCCGTGTCTGTTTAGCCCAAGTGCTCGTTTGCATATTCATAATTATGCAAATTTATGCATATTCATGTTAATGCATATTCATGCGAGCCACATTCCGTGCCGCAACGGCCGCGGCGGGAGGAGCGGGAGGCGGATCCCGGCCCGGCCCCCCCCGCACAGGGAGCGGCGGCCGCGGCCCATGTGTGTGTGCGGGGCCCCGCCAGGCGCTGGAGGCGGAGCCCGCCAGGCCCGTGTGTGTGCGGAGCTGGGAGCGGGAGGCGGAGCCCACCCGACCCGTATTTAAGCGCAGCCCCGCCAGCTGCGGCGTTGTGAGCGCGGGGCGGAAGCGCCCGGCACCTCTTTCCCGTTTTCCGGGCGCAGGCGACGAGGATGAGCCAGAGAGACACCCTGGTGCATCTCTTCGCTGGCGGGTAAGCGAAACAAGGCACGGGCAGGGATCCTCCAGCTTTCCCGTCCCTATCCCTGGGCTGCAGGTCCGGCCCAGCGCCCGTTGCCGCTCGGCCTGGGAGCGGGGGCGGCGGCCGCGCCTGGGGCGGGACCCGCTGCCTGGAGCCCGGGGGTGTCCCGGGAGGGCCGTGCAGGGCTGTCCCGCTCCCTGTGCCCGAGGGTCCGGGGGGGCCGCGTTCAGCTCCCCGCCCGCTGCCCCGAGGCCCTTCGGGGCCCGCCGTGCGCGTTCGGGCCCGGCCCTGGGAGCGCTCGGGCCTGGGGGTTGTGTTGTGTTGCGGGTGGAGCGCTGGGACGGAGGTTCTCGTAAAAACCAGCGTCGTTCCCGGGGTTTGTCCCTTAGCCGGTGTTTTCGTGGAGAAGCCCGCTCTGAAGGGCTCTGTATCCCGGCGGCTGCCCGGGCTGGGAGAGCCCGGCCGGTCCCGCTCGTGTCCAAGGGCCGCTGCGTCCCTGGAATGCATTCCAGTGCTCCGGGGTGTGCTGCCTGACACGGCCCTGCAGCCTTCCACCCACGAAGGCAGAAGCAGTGGGAGGGAAGAATGAAGCTAGAAGTAAAGGTGTGTCCCCTGTAGCTTTACTTAGGTTTGAGGTAACTTTTGTACTTTCGCAGGTGTTTGGTCTCGCTGTCTTTTTCAGCCGCAAAACACGCGGGATGTATGTGGTTACACAGCCTGTGGCCCTTCCCGGGACAGGGTGGGAAGGGCACCTGGCTTAAAAGGGAAAGCTGGGGACCCTAATTGGCTTGACTGTAAAAGCGTGTTTGGGGAGAGAGCCTGGCTGTGCGGAAATGGGAGTGACACTGAGAACGTGCTTTTTATCTCGTTTGAGAGCTTGGAGCTGTGACTTTCATTTGTGCTCTTCATTGACAAAAATGAGCTCACTGCCTCTGGACTGGGGTGTTTGAGGTGGAACAATAATGTATTTACATTACTCTGACCAGGTCTGGGTGAATTGGATTACTCGTAGGCACCTTCTCTGCTTCTGGCAGACTTTGTAGGTTTGTGTACATTATGCACCTGGTCTGTTGCTTGTGTGGGGGCTTTTTCAACCCCTTAATTTCTGGCACTGTTTAAGAGGAGAGTGGTTATGCAGCAGAAGGCAGATATAGCAGTGTATAATTTTTTTCTTAAGACTTCACATCCTTGTAAGCACTTAAAAAAAGCAATAGAAGGAGTTCAAGAAAGACAAGGATCTGTTGGAGAGGGTCCAGCGGAGGCCACAAAGATGATTAGGGATCTGGAGCATCTCTCTTACGAGCAGAGACTGTGGGAGCTGGGCCTGTTTAGTTTAGAGAAGAGATGACTGAGAGGGCATCTCATTAATACATAGAAATATGTCACAGGGGTGTCAAGAGGACAGTGCTAGACTCTTTCTGTGGTGCCCAGCAACAGGGCAAGGAGTAGTGGCCCTAAACTAAAATGTGAGAAGTGTTCCTCATAAATATGCGAAAGAACTTCTTTATGTTGAGGGTGGCGGAGCACTGGAACAGGCTGCTCAGGGAAGCTGTGGAATCTCTTTCTCTGGAAACATTTAAAACCCCCTTGGATATGTTCCTGTGTCATCTGTTCCAGGTGACCCTGCCTTGGCAGGGAGCTTGGACTGGATGGTCTCCAAAGGTCCCTTCCAATCCCTGTGATTCTGTGAGTGGTGCTCACTTGATAGCTCCTCACAGGGGGGATTACTGGGCAGAGTTGTGTGTATTATCACAAAAAGGTTTACAAACCTGAAACTTAAGACTGGATGAAGATCGCTCAACTCAGCTGGTTCATTGCTATTTTTTGCAGAGACCTCTGGTCTGTGGTGAGCTGCTGGCCAGCTGGGTCAAGGGTTACTCTGTGAGGAAAAGGCTGACTGCAGTTTCCTCATGTGCATGTGCCAGCCACGTGTTTCCTGTAGCCATAGTCCACTCAAGCTAACAGTTTATACTTGGTCTCATTTAGCAGTTGAAAAGTTTTCAGGGTCATCTCCTGACTTTGCAAATTTGGTGCGCTACAGATCACCTGAGTGATCTTTAGCCTGCTGTGAAACTTAGAAAGCAAGGAAACTTTGTTTTCCTTTACGTTGCACTGGAGTCTCTGTGAAAACAACATGAATATCTCAGTCTGCTGGTTTTTTTTTTTTTGTGGTGTCCAAGTTCATTCTTTAGTTCCTGCTTTCTGAAATGAAACTGTAACAGATGACATTGCTGGTTTAGTAACATAGATGGGGCCATCCTGGCATTTCTCTGTAGCTGCCTAGGCTCCAGATTTTTTTTTTTTTGTGTATCTTCTGTTCTTCCATCATCTAATCACACAGCAACTGTTGTGACTGTAGACAACATGTTGGTAGTATAAACTCAGGTGCTTTTATTCCAAATGAAGAAGAAATCAGTTGAGCGTTCTCCATCCTTAAATTACAAAGCCTTGTGATTGAAAAGTAGGCTGTAGATTAACGTTTTGGTTTAAGTATATAAGTGACAGTTACATGCTCTTCTAGTTCACAGAATTGCAGAATATATGCCAAGTTGGACTTGGTCATAAGAATGATCAAGTCCAACTCCTGGCCCTGCACAGAGCTCTCCAAGAGTCACACCATGTGCTGGACAGTATTGACTCTTTAAAAAAAGAGTAGTAGAAACCCTTAATGTTTTGCTTTATAGGGAAGATTAATATGTTTTGGATGTACCTGCTTGCAATCATAATTGATATATTGAATGAAAATTTGGGTGTTGGCTACAAAAATAATATTCAGGTTTTCATGATTTTTTTACTTGATTTCCAGAAAGCTTATGATAGTAATTTTGTATCATACAAACTTCCATCAGAGCAGTAAACTTGCCTGAGTGTTTCCTCAGCAAAAAGAGGGACCATTTTGGGTTTGGAGGTGTGTTCAGCTGCTTTTCTGAGTTAACAGTTGGGTAGTGTCAGGTTTGCTTCTCTTCTTCACTCCTGTGTTTCCTGCAGAAAGTTGGCTGTTTTCTAGTTTAATATGTGAGAGAGTGTAGGGAGGAGTCTCTTTATTTGTCTTGATTATAGAACTGTCTCAAATTGGTCTGTCACTGAAATCACTCTGATGGAGGTGCAGAAAATGTATTTAAGATAAATCTTTGAGTTCTCAGAGAGATCAGACACTGTTGAAATTATGAAGTAAAGGTGAAAGACTCTTGAGGTTTTCTGATTAAAAAGATGATAATAATAATCTCTAGTGGGTATTGTGATAATGGGGACTTTTTTTATGCCTTTTCAGAAAATAGCCACTTGAGTCATAACCAACTTGTCAAACACTTAGCTCCTCTCTGCCCTAACATACATTCCTAACATGTAAACCTGGATGCCTTTCAGAATGAGTGAGAAGAAGGTTAGTACCTTCCTGTCCAAACTTGGTTATTTTTATACTCAGATATGCTTCTGTGTGGAATAAGACAGTGTTTGTTTAAAACTTGGGCTTTGCTCCATGGAGTTATCAAATTACATGGAAATTGTGGTCAGTATTTGAGACACTGAGCCACTGGTATGTTGCTCATATTTCTTTCTAGATGCAGATGCTTGGAGTGGTTTTTACTTAACACAAATGTTATTGTAAATGTTTATTTCCCCTGGCTCCTAGTAGAAGTTACACTGTTCATTGCTGATGTTTGTTTTGGATAACAGAACACAGTGATGCTTGATCCCCTGGTGCTGTTTTTCCTGTTTTCACTTGTAGGTTTCTATGTGGTGGCCCATTAAGGGATTTTATTTTTACACTGTTAATTAGAAATAGCAAGTTTGATTAGTATTTTTAGTTTAAGGATGTAAGCTTATCTCGCCTTTTTTTTCTATTAGTAAAGAAACATAATTGGTGAATAAGGGGCTTAAGGGTTTCTGGCTACCAGTGCTCCTAGACACTATATTAATATCGAAGATGGAAATGCTTATAATCTGCAAGTTGAACAGTATAATAACAGGAAAACTGTAAAAATTCAGGTTTAATAATCTACATTCTTTTTCTGAAAGCTATACTTGCTAAAACCCTTATATGTCATCAAAAGACTGGTACTGCAGACTTAATATCTGAACTTGCAACTTTGTCGATATGAAAGTTACTCTGGTCGTAAGATGGCTCCATGAAATTGCTGACAGATTTGGGACTGAATTTGTAGTGATGAGGCAGGAAGCAGTTCTGTTTGCAAGAGGCTTGGATACCTTTCTTTTTTTTTTTTTTTGACAGAATGTTGAACTCAGTTTTCTTGCTTTTCTTTTGACAACCAGTATTTGTATAGAACTTTCTTTTTCATGCAGGAAAGATAAATAGTTGTTAAAATACATGAATGAATGTAGACCTGAGATAACAGGGTCAGGGGTTATCTTCAAGTCTTTGAGGCTGTGATTACAATACTGTGAAAGGTGAATCTGAGACGGACACCATGCAGCCTTGTCTTTTATTTTTATAAAATATATAATTATTTCAAGGAATAAAAAAAGTCTTGCACTGAAAGTTTCATTTCTCGGTCAGCTGACATTGACACTGGGAATTTTAATCTCCTTTGGAGCATTTATAGACAGTCCACTGCCTGGATTGGAGACCCTCATCCATGCTGGAGCTCTCTGCTCTTACTTGCAAGTGTGAAAGGTAACAGTAAAAGATACTTAACTGCTCTGGACAAACACAGTGACTCCTTAACAGATACCTTCAACTTGGAATAATATGAGAAGGCTTTCTTATGCAGCCATCTCTGGAAATAGAACCTGGGATTTGAACACCAAGTGGGTTTAGGTTTTTGAAGCATGTGCATTTTTCTTTCCTTGCAGCATCACACAAATAATACAGATCTGTCTGGGGAAAATGGTTGTCAGAATTGTCTGTGTTCAACTACCAGCAGAGCTTAAAACCCAGTAGATCCAGGTTTGTTTCTGGTAGTCTGGTGTATTGTGAGTGGGGTGTTTGAGGCTTTTATTTCCATGGATGCTCTCTGAAATAAGCTATAGTTTAGGTGAGCACTTGTCATCTCCCTAGGTTCTTCTGTCTAAGAGATGTCCAGTATACAACTGTTCTTAGTTTTGCTGTCTTTCTTTTAAGTTTGTCATAATCCTGCAGGTTAGATAATAACTACATGTCTCATGATGTATATGTATCTGTTTCACTGAGCACCATGTCTCTTAAACTGTACAAGAAGGCTCAAGTTAAAGACTTAATTCTCTAACTTTATACTGTTAATAGTGGTGGGATTTTGGTTTTCTTTTTTTTTACCAGTGTGTTTATTTTTATGGATTTACCCACTTATCTTTGTGTTTCTACCCTTCAGTTTACTTGGGCCCTACAGGTGGTTTCCATACCATTTTATGATCAGGTGTTTCTGATTAAAGGTTTGTGGGTGTTTTTATACTCACTTGGCAAAGCTGAAAAAGGCTTATAGTAAACACTGATTAGAGGCAAATGTCACATCTAGGATAGATAAGAGGAGCAAGTGGTCTTCTGAACAGCATTCTTTAGAAAGTGCTATAAAAGTTCAGACACAGAAGTGTCTCAGATCTTGCCGTTTTTCACTTGCCATTTACACTCTATCAGCAGGAATGTATTTGCTCACCTATTTACTCTACCAGGTGAAACCCATCTAATCCTGGAGAAAAATTTGCACACTAGTAAGTGTTCTTACAAGTCAGAATTGTTGGGGCCTAGTGCATGACTGGAGGTACTGAAGCCCCAGAGTGGTTTTAGGTAGTAAAAATGTCTGAAGTAGTTCACGAAATCCCACCCATGTTATGTGGAGAAGAAATCTAATAATTTTCTAACTCTTAAAAAATGTTTTTTCCAACTGTGCTAGCCCATAATTTGTGTTAAACCACAAACTAAAAAAACTCCCCTTAATTTGAGCTGGTGAGGAGGGTAGCAGCAAAGGTGGCAGCAGTCTGCTAGCCATTTATAGAACACTTGGAAGCTGGAGCTGCTGGCTGGCTGCTAATGGCCTGCCAGGACTTGGAGCACAAAAACGTAGCTGTCTCTTTGACAATATTTCCAGCAGTGTGTTAAATAAGCAAGGCCAGAAATATGTTTCTAAGTAAAACACACTGTCATTGCTGCTGGTGACAGCAGCTGGTATTGCTGCTTAGAAGTTACTTATTTGTACAGAGTGCATAGTTCTTGAATTGTCTCTCTTCTTTATTTACCCACAAGTTCTGTTTGCTGACAGTTCCTCATAAACAGGTTTTTGTCAAGCCTTGCAGTGTTTATCTTAAAGGTCAAGTGAACTAGACAAGTCAGAGGAGTTACTACATTATGCCTTCATTTAGTGGTTGTTCAAACTCAGTGGATCTTGTGACCATTGAGAAGGTCTGATTCTTCAACATACCAAGGCCTTTTCTTTCACTCCTTCAGTTCCAGATGTTATCTTTATTATGCGGGACTTTTTGAGGGCTGGGAAAGTGGAGTATTAGACTTTGACAGAAGTAGAGATTCGGGATTTTTCCAAGACTTGAGTGATATGGAACCATGTAGCACTATAAACCTTTTTGCTTTCTTCAACTCTAAGTAGCAGTTTGAGATCTTGAAGATAGGGGACAGAGAAGAAGCTTAATTCAAACTGTCAATAGTTAGTGGAAAACATTGAAAATAGTCTTGGGTTCAATTGAATCATCTTGAATCATCAACCAAACCAAAGAAACTACCCAACAACACAACAGCAAGAAGCTGCCAAGGGTGCTGATTATTTGAAATTACCTGAATGGCAGAATGTAATGCAGGTAAAGGCCCTTAAAGGGAGGCAGGTGATCTGCTGCTTCCTTATGATTGCAGGTAAACATCCACTGGCTCCCACTGAAAAGTGCTTGCTGTAGGCAGACTTAAAAAGAGCAAACATTGAGTAGCTGTGTATCTGCCCTCTTCCCCAGTAATCTCATAATCCATTGTGAAGTGAGGTGTCTGACCCATCCACAGTGAATGTCTGGCAGAAGTGCTGCTGCAGTCAGGCATCCCCTGTGATTTGGGTGTGGTGCAGGGGAGCATGCAGGACACAAGCTCCAGGGCAGCATTAATCTTCAACTTTGGAAGATTTTTCTGGTGAGATGTATTCTGGTGTGAGGTAGCTGGGGAGCATTAAGGGCTTCAAATTCTAAGCCCTGTTCAAGAATGTAGGCCATGGGGTTTTTTTGTCCTACTTTCTTCCCCACCTGCATGGTATTTATCTCATTAATATAAATAATACTATGTGCTTTCTCTTGTGATTACTGTGGCTCAAAATCAAGTTCTCATGTAACCTGCCCAAAATCAAATGCAGAAAGATTTTAAGGAAAGTAAGCTCAAGGGAGTTGGAAATGGAGAAGTTGCAAGAAAGGAAATAAACTCTAAAGCCAGCTTTCTACATTGCCTGCTGAGGCACATTACCATAGAGTGGTGTCTGCTTTGAACTGCAGGAAATACAGTAACTTGCTATCTGCTCAGAGCTTTAGAGGTTGAGCCTCTTCATGTCAAGTTGTTTTGAGGGCTGGTCTACCTGTGGTTCTCATGTGGTGTTCATGTTGTGAACCTTCACATGTTACAAGCTCCTGCTGTGTCCAGTACTGACTAAAATAAATCTTAGCACATCTATCCTGTCTTTCTGCAACTCTAATTTTAAAATACAATTAGAAGCAAGTGAATTGCTCATTCCAAGCATGCTGCTCCAAGATGTGTGTCAGTCTGTGTGAGTGCAACACACTGAAAGACTGGGTCATCGTCCTGCCATAACACTTTTTTCCAGACTGACGAAGAAACTTGATATCTTTCTTCAATTAAACCTTGGAAGAATAGACTTCAGGCTAATGTTGGAGGTAGAGATGGGCAAGATGCCTTTAGGCTTAGTAATAGGACACCTCTAGATCACTAGGTTTAAATGGAGCATTAAGTGAACATCATGAAATGCTATCCTACTTTGCAGATGTACTGTCAGTTCAATCCATACAAAAAGATTACTTTTTTAGAATGAAGTGCTGTATTTTTGTATTCTCTACAATAAGAGTCATCAGTCTACCCACCTATAAAAATTTATAGGAAATCTTGAGTCTTAACTGTTACTCCTAATTTGGACTGAACTCTCCTTTGCATTTTGGAAAACATTATTTTAAAAAGATTGTTGAACAGGCTTATAGCTTTTTAAAGGTTTTGAGGGTGTTTGAGCTTCTTATGTTAGAAAATAAATAGCTGATAATTATGTTGTCAGAATCAAACACCTCCTCTAGTTATTGCATTGGGGAAGCAAATGCTGGGCCCTTTGAATGTAGTACTAATTGTGTTTATGTGTTAGTGGATTTCAAACTGAGTTGTTAGTGTTAATATCTGAATTGAAATCTAGGTTTACATGTTGGGATGGATTTTTTGATTGCTTTTTAAAGGATATAGTGTTCTGGTCATAGTTTTAAGAAGGGTTTTTAGCAATGTTAAGAATACTGATCTCTGAAAAGGTTCGAGGAAAGTGTTGAAGGCTTTTCTGTAATGGTAATGTAAAGGCATTTGGGGCTGTCTTGGAAATCAGAATTTCTGAATTTGGTATTTTTCCCTCAGAGGGTTTATTTAAACAGATAGGAATGCAGATCTTAATAAGCAAGTAATGAATCAGCACCAGAAGAATCCTCTGAGCAGGGCTGTGCAAAGGCAGTGTGTTCTTGGCTGTGTTCTGCTCCAGCAGCACGACCGGAACTGCACTGTCAGCACAAGTTGTGCACGGCTTGCCTGGACATGCTCACAGGAACAGACTGAGGCAAAACCTACGAGTCTTTACCTGCTCATCCTCTTGAGCTCTTTTGTCTTCCCAGATTCTACTCTGTAGTATCTTAGTCTGCCTTACTGTACTGGCAGAACTCGGGAAACACTCAGGAAATCTCTGCTTTCATGGTACAATGCCCAAAATACAAATGGAGTTTTGAAGATGTTATTTAATTGCCATGGCACAGATTTTACAGGTTTTACATGTAGCCCTGTGTGCATAGTGCATAAATCTTTTCTGCCCTTAAGGATTTTTGTCACCTTGTTTGTGGTCAGGAGTGCACTAAACATTAAAAAAACCAGTTAAAATTTACCATAAGAAGTTAAACATTTCAACTACTGAGCTGCTTTCCAGAGCTGATTTGAACAGTGTGTACTGAAGACTGTGCTCCTTCACCACTTTTTGTCCATTTAATTTTTCACTCCAACTTGTGGGGTTAACAAACTGACTTAATACTTTGCTTACCTTCAAGGGCAAATAGCTGCAGCACTGTCATACATGTTCTAGTTGGTTCTCTACCTTTTGCAGTTTGACTGTATTATAATGCTAATTCTATGTGAATGTATCCCTCAGTTTTTTTGCAATTACACATGTGATGAGCCTGTTTATTTTTGCAGATGTGGAGGTACTGTTGGTGCAATTCTGACATGTCCACTGGAAGTTGTGAAGACACGATTGCAGTCCTCCTCTGTGACTCTCTACATCTCTGAAGTTCATCTCAACACTGTGAGTGGTGCTGGTGTCAACAGAGTGACCAGAGTTTCTCCTGGACCTCTCCACTGTTTGAAGTGAGTGCACATGTCACTAGGTTTTGGGTTCATTTTGGGGAAGAGAGAAGTGTTATGGACAAATCTGTATGAAAGACTCGAAATATTGTCTGTCATGATGTTACCATGAGATGACTTTCCATATTTTCCCTTTTAACTATAAGTTTCACATTCCAATTTTCTGAATGTCCTTCATGCTTGAGTTTGTATCGTGAATTAGCCAGAGCACATATACCTTGTACAACACACAGCTCCAAACTGCATCCCCAAAGGTCACTGGGAGCACTGTGACACAGCCAGACTCACTCTCATCCTGAAAGTGTTATCCAAATCCTGGAAGTTACTGAATATGGAGGCAATGAAAATTAACTCAGTTTCTTAGTTTCTTTTGACTTTCACCACTCCATACACTTTTCAGCTTTTGAATATCTTCTGGTGGATGTGTGACTTGTAACATTTTTTTAGAACTAATAAGAAATAAGTACACCCAGCTTCTGCAAATGTCTGGGATGTCTTGTTTGCATGATGCCTCACTGAAAGGTGACTGACTGCCTTTCCTCTCCTTGCCAGCAGTGCTTGTGTAATTCAGGAGCCAGCAGAAAAGTTATAAGGCCATAGTTAAACTGCTTGTACAGACAACAGGCAGGGTTCACTTCACTCGAGGGGACTCAAGCTAGCCAGTGAAGGGCAGGAGAGGTACCTTCAATATCTGGGAATGAGGGGAGACTTCTTCCAGGAGGGACTTGCTGCTGTTTCTTGCATTAGGAAGAATTTGCCAAGACTCAATCATCTATCTTCTCTTCTCAATTAATTAGTGAGAAGTAGTTTGTAGAGAGCCCCTTCTGGCAGTTAGTGTAGGATTTAGGCCTTATCTGGTTAGTGTATAGGATTTTCTTATGGAGGTTGTACCCAAACAACTCCTTGAATGGAAGATCATCCTTAGCATGAAAGGTTTGATTCAGAGCCTTTTTATGTGTGAGCTTGATAGTGAACAGATGTGTGGGAAGGAAAGGCTTGGATCGTGACAAGCAAGAAGAGTTCCATCTGACACGCTTGCCTTATTGACTTCTCTTGATGGAAGTTGAGCCCTTCAACTTCTTTCTGAATGTTTGGTTATGAATTTATCTTGTCTAGAAGCGTATCTGAATGAATAACAGGTGGAATAGATGTTTGTTTCTTACATTCCTCTGCTAGAAGCCTGCTATGCTTTAAAAGGATCCCTAAAGCCAAAAATAACTTGAGTATTCCCAGGAAGTGAATTCAGACTGAGGCAGAGGTGATACATGATGACCTTCTTTGGTAGCGCTTGTTTGTTGTGTTAGTTTGTTTTTAACAGTTGTCTTCTTATATGTGCTGTTTATCTGTCATACAAGAATGTCTCTTTTGCTGCTTTTATTCTTTTCTTAGATGTGTTTTCTTTCAGGTCATTATCAAACAACTGAGATGCAAAGTCTGGGTTTCGAGTTCTTTAAATACATTAAATATGAAAAAAAATCCCAAATAATGTGGCAATGGACTGTGACAATAAAAATACATAGGTGCAGGACAGAATTACTCGTGTTTAAGATGCTGGAGATGTGTAGTGGGGAAATAAAACTGGATTCCTCTGTCACTCATGCCCTTACTGTCACTTGATTTTTTTTTTTTTGACTAACGGTTGTCAGAGTTTGGTTGTCTCAGCAAATTCGGTGCAGCTTTCCAAGGCTCTCAATGCTCAGTCTAAAAGCAGAGAGAATCAGGCAAATTATGTCAGAATTTCAGTGAACTGACTGCTGTAGAATCACTTCTGCATCTTAAGCATCAGCAGAGGTGAGTTCAAAGGCATCTCTGTAAAGAAACAGACTTGGATTAACTGGTAGAGGTGACTCCATTCTCTGGCAACAAAACCAAATTCCCTTATTCTTAAATGTCTGTGTTATATGTCATATTACAGATTCTCATAATTAACCTTGCACAATTTAAACCTGAGATCTCGATAATGGAAATCTCACTGACCTCCCAGCATAGGCTTCTCCATGTGACATAAGTAGGTCAACTGAGGTCATATGGAGCACTTGTCCTGCTCTTCCAACCATGGATTTGCCCTTTTGCTGCGCGTGTTCAATAAACAAGTGCAGGCTCTGGGATCTGCTTATTAATGCAAAAAGCCTGTGTCTTATTTTCAGTGCAGACTGGAACTCCTCCAACTGTGTCTGTGAACGCAGAAGAGCATCAGTAACTACCTCGGTGATAATCCTGTTACAATCTCTCTAAAACTTTGCTACTCTGTCAAATTTCGGGACTTTAGATCCAGAAGAAACAAATAGACCTGGTACATTTCACTCCTAAGTGAAGATTCCTTCTGCTTTGAATACATGTACTGTATGTGCATATATGCATGTGTACCACAGGATATGGTGGTAGTGATTTTCAGTAGTGTCTTAAGTGGACACAGATCATGTTAGTTGGATTCAGTATTGCAGTTGCTAACAATGCTTTCAGGATACCAGGCAGGTCTAAGTAGTTTGTATTTCCAAAGTGACTTTGAGTTTGTGTTCAATATTCCAATTATTGCTGTGGAGCAATACTACCCACACAGTGAAATGATGTCTGTTATGGACACAAAGGTAAGATGTTGCTGGACACATTATATCCTAAATAATGCTGGTAACTTCAGAACTACTGTTTCATTTTTGCTTATTTAAAGCAAATGTAAACTTCAAGTTGGATTTAGCAGCAGAACAGTAGTGAATCAGCTACTGGAAATCAGAATAGGCTTAGAATCTCCTTCAGTGCTATAGATGGCTTTCACTTGTTTGTTCTGATAGTATATTCCAAATAAAATGACCATTTATGCAAGGGTAGTGTGCTTTATTGAGTAATTGACTTGTCATTAACCTGCATCTGTCTTTGAAGAAGAAATATATAGTAGAACTATTTGTGTGTATTGGTCAACACTTGTAAATCAATGAGCACAGGCTTCTGTTTTGCAGCACTTGGGAAAGTAGTTAATTCTTAACTTTAAATATGGTTCTAAAGTAATTGCTAGAGCAATTTGCAGTGATGGGATGCACGTAGTCCGTGTTTTTCCTTTCATGTCCTACTAGACTTTGTAAAATACTAATGTGATTAACATCTGGATTGTTGGACAGATTGATTTCCCTAAAACTGAATACTAGTGAATATTCTCTTACCATGCCAGTGTACCTTGCTGCATAATGGTTTTCAGTGCTTTCTTTTCCACAGCTCTGTGGGATAAGTATTGTAAACACTAAAGTACTAGTAATGCCTCACCTGAGGTCTCAACTTGTTTGAACCCCTGTTTCTCTGTAAATTCCACAAAGATGGAAGGTCACACCCTGCTGCCACCCAAGCAGTCTTTCCCAAGCTGTGTTTATGGTCGACATGGTACACAAGATGTTAGGACTGTACTGAGACTGTGACTCTTTGCATGGGTTACACTCCTGTCTCAGTTAATATCAGTGAATTACCTTGCATGGAGAGGTAAGGATTGTCTTTTCTGGAAGGAAAGACTGGCAAAAGGCAAAAAACCCCTGGCTCCACAGCTCGGCAGCAGCACTTGGTAGGAGCACACAGGCAGCAGTTCAGAACTGAACAGGGAGTCCCTGCCAGCCTCAAGGAATGGCCACTTCTTATGGTGGGGTTTTCAGTTTCCTTTTACTGTAGCCAAACTAGTCACCATATGTCAAAGAATAAAACTAAGGCTCCTAGTTGAATACCTAGTGGATTTAAATAATGTATGGGTATGAGAAAGGCAGGATGTAGAGGAAAGCAGCCTTCCAGATACCAACTTCTGATGTGTAAATTAGTGTACTGTTGGGAATCTTGTAGAATCAAACCTGGATAGCATGTGCAAAACCACGTTGAGGTTTGTCTCTTTTTGAGAAGAGATAATAGGGACGCTGCCAAAGTGTCCCTGGCTGGACATCATAAGCAGTAGAGCTTCTGAGAGCTTACGTCTTCCTGAGGAGCTCTCAGATGGAGTATGACTCAGTGAAACCAAGCCTTCTTAAATCTCTTTCCTCCTCTTTTGCCCTTTGCCTTCTGACCCTTCCACTCCAAACAGTCAACAAACATGGACCTAAAGGGTGGTGAAAGGAATGTAGCATAGAATCAAGTATTTTTGCCTCCTGAAAAATGTAAAAGGTACAGGAACGTGGACATTTCCATTCTTAGTATTTTCTCCTTGATTAGAGGACACTTTCTTTAGCTTCCTGATGGCAGACAACTCCACGCATGTATGTGTTCCTGTATTTGAGGTAAGTCTGTATTGACATCATGAGTCTTAGTTCTGCACTTAGTTTCTGGATTTCTGTGGCATATCAAGCAGTAACGGAATTTTTTATTCTGATTCTAGGAAATAACTAATTTTTTGTGGTCAGCACTGTATTGTCAGTTATGAAATTTTTTCAGAGTAAAGGTTAAAGTGATGTATTTGTTTGTCAGTGCATTTCTTCATTTTGATCTGAATATTACAGTATTGTCTTTTTTGTTTTCTAGGATGATCTTGCAAAATGAAGGCCCTCGTTCTTTGTTCAGAGGGCTGGGTCCTAATTTAGTAGGCGTTGCTCCTTCCAGGTAAATACAAACGTGTACATTAAATAAATTCAGGGATTCATTTGCAGTGAATTTTGTATCTGCAGTTGTAAATACTTAATAGCAAATAACTCATTTGTTCCTGGGATAATTGTGTTGTCTGAGAAATTGAGCTACTTGTACTTCAGAGCTCCAACTGTCTCAGCACTCACTATCCCTTGTGCTATTATAATGGCATTTACTGTTGCGGGCTATCCCTTATGCAGAGTTTTGTCCAATTAAAAAGAAAAATGCTTAAGGAGTTGCACATGTAAACTATAAGTTTGTACCTTGGAAAACACAAAGGTAGATCTAGCTTTCAGTTAATCCATCATCATCAGGAAGCAGTTATGTGACTGCAACCTCGAAACACTGGGTCTTTCTTCCTAAGTTCTGATGAAGTACAGGCTGGTGCTCCCCTGCTTTACAGAGCCTGTTCTGAAGCTTCAAAAGGGGCAAGGCTGGGTAGGATGACACACTTAGCAGCTGGCACAGAGCAAGTGGATCCAGCAGTGGGCTGGGCTCCAAAGGGTACTGGGGCACTGTCAGAGAGTGCAGAAGGGAAGGATGTAAATCTCATCTCATGGGCAGTGGTATCGCTGTTCTCTGTTGCTCTGCATCAGCACAAATACTCCAGCTTCAGGCTGGTGCTGGCAGTCAGAGCAAGGAGCAGGTGATGCCAGAGTTTGAATTTCTCCTTACATATGAGTGTTAGCCAAAGTTCAGTCTGAAAATAGGAGAATATGTAAGAGAGTATGAAACAAAGCTGTGTAAAAGTAATATATCTACTTAATTCTGGATGAGGCTATAGTTGGTTTCTTGCTCATTTTTATTCTCTTCTGTTTAAGAGAAGATTCTTTATGCAGAAGGAATATATTCCACAAAGGCTTTATTATTCCCTTGACTTAGTGCTCTGCATTTGTTTATTTACTTACTTTACCTGAAGAGAAAACATTCCTGTCTCCTACACATTCAGCTAGAAAGTATCTTAACTTTTCTGGTTTAAGGTGCTTGAATGTTCCTGGAAAACATTATTAAACTGAACTTCAGCTCTGACAGGTGAGGCAATGTTCTGTAGATCCTCTGCATAAGAGAGAAACATAATGCAGGAAGCGGAGTGTCTTTATTAGATTTTTTTTTTTTTTTTAAGGATTTAGGAATACCTGAGGTATTTTCTGATCACTAACTTAGTACTGCTCTTTGGAGGAGCTGAAGTAAATCCAGTATCTTTTTTTACAGTATCTTTACACCTGCAGGGTATCAGCACTTCCTAATCTTAAGAACCTGTACTTTTGCTGGTAGACCAGTCTGTTCAATCAAATGTTCCACATTGATATCACTTTAATAGCAATTTCTATCCAGGAATAGGTTTGATTTTATAAGTTACTATCCTCAATGAAAAATATCCTCACTTGCAAAAAACTTTTTTCTTTTCAATAAATTTTGTGTTAAATCTTCTAATTCCCTTTTCTTCCCCCAAGTGAAATGCTTAGCTTGTTTCCTCCTCCCCACCATACCAAAAAAGTCAACTTGATGTAGTGTGTGAAGTCTTATTTATGAGCACATCCCTATTTCCCTCTGGCTGCCTTGGTCTTCCTCTAGTACTTCATTTCAATTAAGCACTAGCTAAGTGGATTTAACATCAGCTCTTTGTTTAAATAAGCTGTAGAGAAGCATGTTTCATAACACATCCAGTACACTTAACTGGTCAGGTTCATTTGAGAAATGACACCCATAAAGCAAGCACTTTATCTTTCTTGTAATAAAGAAAAACATGTTTGCACAGCTAATGAGGTTAATGTTCTGTTCATGAAAAGTTGCACGTTCACTTTTTCTCTTGAAGAGGAGTGTTTAAAGAAACTGAGTAACAACCTGAAATGTTCTTTTAGATGTATTTAAAATAATCGTTTTAGCTTTAATGAATGAAAACAAGTTTTCATATTTTCAATTATTTCATTATTATTTCAAATTTTCATATTTTTCATAATATATTGAATTGGCATGCTGACTTTTGTCTAGCTTTGTTTTGCTACCAGGTCACAGGCTTGAGTGTAATACAAGTTTACAAAATTCTTTTGGGAGTGTATTCAGAGAAAAAAAGTGTCCATTCTAAATACAGAACTGAAGAAACAAAATGTCGATACCAGCTTCACAGCTGTTCTAGCATTTGACATACAAATATTTATAACCATGACTTAGCAATATTTACATCTTAAATGCTACAATGCATTTAATGCATTGCATTAATGCTACAATGCATTAAATGCCAAGAATACTGTTGGAGGGGGTTTAAAAAGCTGCATACTTGTTCATTCTCTTGAAATTGTCATGCTATTGAAATGAGTTTAGGTCCATTAGTACTAAGTTTTTCTCGTATTAAAGTGTTGCAGAATACTGAAACTTGAGTTTTCAGTCCAGCAGTATTTTACTTCCCAGTCTCACAAAAAGCACTGCCATATTTCTGCTTATCTATCCTTCCCCTCACTGGTTGGTAATTGGAGCTGTTGAAGAAGAAAAAGTTAAAATGCATGATCTTTGTTTTTATTTTCTACTCCTGGAGTAGTCCCACTATGTTACAGGAGTTAATCCTTGAGTAGTTTGTTACTGAGGAAGTAAATTTTAACCCAAGATCATTCAGATTAGTGAAGTTAATGGCACTGCTTATTAAAAATATTGACACATAAAACATAACTTGGATTTTGTTCTGATTTTAGAGCCATATATTTTGCTGCTTACTCAAACTGCAAGGAAAAGCTGAACAGTATTTTCAATCCAGATTCTACCCAGGTACACATGATTTCAGCTGGTGTGGCAGGTAAGGATCTGTAGCTTTTTAGCTTTGTTCTCCAGTCATATCTGCAAATGAGAAGTGACAAATGTGGGGAAAAAAAAACAAACCAACAAAACAAACCAGAACATGTTTAGTAATTGAATAATGTTTTCTTTTAGTGGTTACCTGCCTTGGCCTCTCATTAAACAAACTATCTGGAGAATATATGCATGAAACTGCACTGAGTGATAAATAAGTGTGTGTGAATAGTCTGTTCTGGAAAACCTGCATGCCTGCTTTTTCAATTGTTAATTTGTGAAATGAAAAAAAGAAAACTTTGAAAACAGTCACTTGTTGTTCTATAAGATATAAACATTGTTTACACTGACTTCAGGTTTAATTCTTCTTAATCTGCTTTTTTTGACCACCACTTTCTGTTACAGCTTTGTGTATCTGACTTATTTTTGTCCTTCTGAAATATGCCTGCAGGTATTTGTGTAAGTTATATGTAACACTCCTTCCTCCTTTGTTCATATACCACTCTATATGAAGTTTGCTCTACCACTGAAGAGACATAGAATAGCAGATTTTTCGTAGTTTTCATATATTTTCATCTCCAAAGATAAATTTGTTTTATATCTGCAGTGTAACTTTGGTATGTTTGAACAGCCACCAATATTTGTTGCTTGATTTGTGTGTTCTGTGCTTTGGGATCATTAAGGGGAGTTAAAGGCAACTGAGCTGAGTTATGGCCATGGACTTGTGCTTTGAAAATCAAAACTTGGGCTGGCAACGCTTTACCCATTGTTGCCTGTGTTTTTGCTGCACAGAACCAATTTTTCAAAAGTTTTTTTTTATGTGTAGGCCATAGGCACTTCATAGATGAATTCTGACAGTTTTATTGTTGAAGTTTCTAGTTCCTGTCAAACTTACAACCAGTCTATAGAATGTGAGTACTGGCAATCTGGGATGGACTGACAAAAGTCATGTCACAATAATGAATAGGATTAGTTTTGCATTTAATGCTGATTATCCAGTACAAAGAAATTCTATAAAGCATATAAAATATGTGACATTAGCTTTATTTAAATGACACTGTCCATCTCTGGCACATGAAATATGATAGAGGTTTTTAATCTTTAAGATGTGAAGAGATCTGTTATGTTTTGCCCAAATAAGACAAGGATGATGAAAGGATTTTTTTTTTATCATCTAGAAGTGCGTGTTTTGTTTTTAGGTGAACAACGCAGGGAATGAATTGGAAAGGCATTTAATGTAGAGTTCATTTAATCAACTAATTGTGCCAAGAAAAATTGAACTGTCTTCAACTCCTTGTCAAGAGGATAATACATGTCTTTAGATTTGGGGGGCAGGGGGAAGTGTGGGTGATATAAACAAGTCTGTCCTCAGTTGAAGACAACTTGTATAACTTATGCAGTGCTGCAGACAGAGGAAGGTTCAGAGTGTTCCTCATCTTTGGAAGTTGCTGCCCTCATTCTGTAGTGAAAAGAACACTTCTGGAGATGTGCTGTAGTGCCTTTTCATGAGTGTTTGCAGACTTGGGCTGTAGTTTGTCATGGAGTTCTGTATCTGTTAAGTAACTTGCTTCCTTTCCAGAAGGTTGATGTTATCCATTTGTACATAAAGCTGCAGGAAACTTGGGTAAATGTCTTTAAACCTTAATTGCTCTTCACCTTTTTTACTCTTTTATACAAGTTTTAATATTGAATTTAATTTGCTTAAGAGTTCTCACACTTCCCAAGTTCTGCAGTTGTATTTCTAAACTATATAGTCAACAAAACAGAAATGCTCAGTGCAGGTTCACACTATAGGTCTTGGCACTGTACACTACAGAAATTCTCTGGAAGACCTTTAAAAAAAAAAGGTTCTTTGACACACAACTTCTCAATACTGTGTTGGTGTTATTCTGATATATGAAAAGGACTCTGTAGTTGAAATTTAACAGTGCTGTCTTGGGAACGTGCTAACCTTGTTTTTGTAATTCTAATATATTTCAGAAAATGCAGCTATTAACAGTTTTACCTGCAAGGTTTGTATTGCTGTATGATGCAAATCAGCTTAAAGAAATGGCAAAATAACAGGGACAAGATTGAATGTGAGCTCTTAATTGGTTGACAGGTTAACACAGAAGATCATTGCAATATTTGCTTTGAACCTAAGACTTCAGAATTGGCAAGGTGAATAAAGACTTCTAATAATTAGCAAAAGATAATCAGTATTGGCTTTTTTTCTTTTTCAGCTACCATTGGTTTCAGTAAGAAATTGAGTAAATCAATCTTAAATGAGGGTTGTTGTTTTGGTTTGGTGGTTTTGGGGAGGTTATTTTTGAATATGACCTTTCTGTTTCATAAAGGCTTTCCTCATACCAAATGAGCATGAAGGAGGATTTACACTTACAGAGCTTTTCTTGTAGGTTGCAAAATATGGCAATGATGCAGAAATACAATATAAAAAAAAAACCCTGTAACTTACTGTTTTATGGAAGTACTGCAAATAGTGAACTTTAGTCAACTTTAAATTCTGTTTACTTGTATCATATGCTAGTTTACTAGTATCTCAGGCTAGCTTGATGTCCTTGTTAAATAAGGATTGTCTTATGCATGTGGTGTTTTGGGGACTGAAAAGCTGAGGTGTGGTATTTTAAGCATTTTTGTTTGGTTTTAGGCCTGATTCTTCCTTCTCAAGATAAAAATGGTATATTTATGCTTTTAAGATTTTTCTGCTAAGTTTGTTTGATCTGAAGGAGAATGAATTATCTACGTATTAGTAACTGATGCCTTATGCAATTAGAAATGTTTCCTTGCTATGTGCCAGCTTCCAGCATATAGTTCACATAACTCTCATACCTAAAATATCTGTGTACTGACATGAAGTCTCAACAGTCATTTTTACCAACTCCTCAGCATATCACGTGGTTCTCTTTTTGCAAACTAGGGCAGTGAATATATCTGAGCTCGCTACAGGAATGAGTGTTTGCTTATGTGAAGACAGTTGATCTCTGTACACTTCCAAGTTAGGCTAAATTCTCAGATTCACTGTGAACTCTACCTTCTTGTTGAACGTGACCTCTTTTGCCACAGAGAAGAAAAACTGTGGAGAACTGAATGAGATACTTGATTCCTTTATGGCCTTCTTATTTGCTTTTTTAAATGAATCATAACCTCAATCAGACAACATGGTTGCAAATCTGCTGCAAAACTGCTTTGCCTTGTATTGCTGTTGCTGTTCTTTCTAGAACTTCACTGACAAACCAACCCAAATGCAGATTTTTTTTTATTTATTAAAAATAATTGGGACCACTTTATTATTTACAGAGATACAATGCTTTTGTAAGTTTTTAGTACTATGTACGCAGTTAATTCATACCAAATAAAATGCGTATTTAGTTCATTGGTCTTAGAAAGTTTGATTTCATAAGGCATCTATCTTGTTTTTTCAGTCCTAAGACTAGGCTAGATTTTGTGAATAATATTTTCAAGGGAATGGGGAAGGAGGAGGGTCCACTTGTAAGTTTGCTATGTAGGTAAGTATTCGGAGATGTAAAATTGAACTGCTGCAAATGAGCAGAAATTTCAGTACTCAGTGCATTTTAAACAACTACTTTAATATCTGTGGCCTGTTTTGATTATTTTTCTTTCTTTTTTTCCTAAACTTTTACCTGCAAACAGTTAGATCTCACAATAACTAATTCACAAATCCTTCCGATGGGATTCAATTTGTACACTTGTGTCTGATGAGGTCACTGCTTGTTGTTATGATACAGAAAAGCCTGTGTCTATTTTAGGCATTTACTGTACATTTCTCCCGTGAAAAGAGTGAGATCGTGTCATCTCATGCTCCCCACCCGCAGGTCACTTCCTGCAGAAATATGGACTAACTAAAACCTCGTGAGTACTGAACTGAGCGTCTCTTGCAGCCTCTAGTGTAAGAACCACACAGTGGGTTTGTAATATCTATTGAGTAAACAAACTGGGGAATTCATTTGCATTATCTTGAACTCAGATGATGTGCATTGTGCAAAGACATCACTTTTTTTCTTAACTCTGTTAAGAGTGATTTTTTTTTTATTTTATTTTTTTTTTATTCCCCCCCTCTGCAGATCAGGGAAAGGTAAAAAATACCTTTCACTGGTAGCTGCTACTGTACTTAGCTCTGGCTGATTGTAAGCCCCTAATGGGTTAAACAAGGCATTTTGGTTTTGGGGTTTTTTTCAGTGTCCCAGAGCTGCCTTTTAAATGCTGCAGCTGATATTCTGTGTTGTCATATTATTTCAAAGATCTCTTTTCTTTTTCTTTTTTAATGTGTATATAATCTCCTTTCTGTCTCTTTCTGTTACTCTTTTGGTTTGTTTTCATTTGACTTCTTTGGATTTTTAATTTAGCATTCCATGTTCACATGTGTCTTATCAATTACATTGGCTTATAGAGAAAAAAGCAAAACCCCTATCCTTGGAAATATGATGCATAATAGGAATACCTGGGATCTTACCTGTCAGTAGCTGTAATAGCTGAAAAAGTAGATTGAGAATTTTTTGTCTCAAAGTGGGATAAAATTTCATAGAAGTAAAGTACAAGAGTCTGTAGTATTGCCAAATTTATCTATACTTGTATTGAATCTGGAATCTTTCTTGAGGCTACAACACATTGATAAGCATTGTAAAGCATTGTAAATTTCATTGAGACTTCTGAAAAGAAAAAGGAAACAATTGATGGAGCTTCGTGGTAGCTGTTGAAAGTCTCCAACCTTTATTTTTTAAAAAATATTGTGCTAGAAACTTTGTTTAAAAATGAAAGGTTATCAAAGATCCCGAATGGTGTTTTTCATGTTTTGGAGGGTTTTCCTTGGTGTCAGCATCACTCAACTCTTAATTCATTTTTCTTCCACTGACTATATTTACTACATTAGCTGTAAGAATTGACCTGTAGTCATTTCATCTTGAAACCTGAATTACTGAGGGACCTTTGTTTTGAAAGCTTTGGTTTGAACTGTCAATTTAGGCTTTTGACAGCCCTAGAGGAAAAAAATTTGCCATGTTGCTTAGTGTCTTATCCTGCTGTTGGGGGTGCTGCACTTAGACAATGCCCAGGGAGTGCAGTTTGGGACAGAGTAGGGGCTGCATCCTGTGCCAACCACCCTTCACTGGAAATTTCCAGTGTACTCTTCCCAACCTGCTTAGGAGTGTCAGGCTGCTACTGTGGGTGACTGCAGTCACTGCTGTCACCCAGACACTGCCACTGATCTCACTATGCATTTCCTGTCCCAGATTTAGGATCTGCAGAGACCCTTTTCTTGGACTGAATAGGAAGGAGGAAGGACTGAGCAGATAAGGCTGTAATGTACAGTCTAGCAGTAACAAAATTCCAAAGCATGCAACATGAGTAGGAATGCAAAAGATTTTATTTTTTTCACTTGAAATCAAGAACTAGGAGAGACTTAAGAACTAATTTTGGTTCTGAGAGAAGTCTTTCCTGGAAAATATGTTGATAGGGAAAGTTAGTAATTTTTCCTCACCTTATTTCAAAGCCTTTATTGCAGTCCTGTGTGTTCCTAGTACCCTTTACTCCACTCTAGATATGGAAAGATTCTGATTTGAAGTCAAAGAAAATTAAAACTTTATAAGTGATAGTGTAAAGAAATAAACATGTTGGAATCAGTGGAGTTTCTATGGCATGGAATGGCTGGTCAGACAGACTCTGGCTAGTTGGGCTACAGAGCTGATTTTGCAGATGTGATGTGTTCTAAAAACATCCTGTGCCTTGTTATGGCAGAGTAGTTCCTCGGTGCTTTGAGTTTTTACATAATTATTTACCTACCTAAAGTAGAGATATAAAACACTTGTCTTCTTAAAATTTCACTCCATCATATGAAGGGTATATATGTACCAAGACATAGACAAAAAGAGTAGTGCATTTAAAAAAATACAATTCCAAACCCTTATCTACCACAGAAAGTTACTTGATTAGAAGTTTAAGTCAGTTTAAAAATATATTTAATCAGAAGATTAAACAGAAACCTCCAATGTGTTTTTGTGCTCCTGGTGTAGAAAACCAGCTGAATCTTAGCTGCCAAACCTGTCTTTAGACAGCTGTCTTTAGAGCTGTAGCTGAAGATCCTGATGGGGTATTTAAGATTTGGGGGTGGCAACAGAACAAACCTTAGAACAGTTAAGATCCTTTGGCATTTCTGAGTATTGCAGACCTTTATGTGCAATGTCAAGTAGATTGTGATTGCCCAGGAGTAACATGTATGCAAACAGTTCTGCTAAATACATTTCTGTAAGCTGCTAATGATCTCCCTAAACAAGCTTATCAATAGCCTGTTCCTTGGATAAGTATGGTGCACCAGATGTGCACTGAGTCAGGTAACTGTTGCTTTCCCACAACCCCAGCCCATCCCCCTGCAGGAGGGCAGCATGTCTCTGTAGTGATATACCAGCCATGTGTGTCACTTAAAAAGCAAGTGTCTAAATTTATCATCTCTTGCTTGGCCATGTTCCAGCTTTTCCCTTTTCCTATTCTCTCCTGCAGACATGACACCTCATTAATGGTGCATGTGTGGTATTACAACTTGATGGTTTGTTTTATTTTACTTTTTTTCAGAGCTACCTTTCACTCTGCTCTCTCTCTCTCTCCACAGTTGTGCAGAAGTAAGAGTGATTCTTACTTCTTTTTTTTTTCTTTATTTTGTTTCCGTTTCTCTTTTTCTTCCTTTTTCTTTTTCTTTAGTGGACTGAAAATCAAAGCTTTAACCCTTGGCCCTTATGCAAGCCTAAATAGTTGCTGTCTGAATAGTTAGAAGTCATAGTGTTAACTTTAACAATTTAAACACTCCTATGCTTGTAAAAGTATTCCTAGACCAACCAAGAATATCTGCTTTGAATACTAAATACCACTCAAATTTAACTGCTCTTTATAGTTCAGTATTAGAAGGTCTCTTAATTTACAGTAATATATGCCTTTTGACTGCACCAAAAGTAGTATTTATTCAGTCTGCATGCTTTCAAACTCGGATTGTATTTCAGGTAACAAAGTAAATTGACACAATGTTTTCTACCATCTCAAATTGCTATAGCTGTCTCTGCAATGCATTCTTATTGACATTTTTGCCAAATTGGCTGTGATATTAGTCTAGCTGGCATTGCTGTTCCGTGGTGTCAAAACAGAGTTGGTATTAGATAGGAAATGTACTTAATTTGGCTTATTATATATGGGGCATTTCTTGCTAAGATTTAAACATACTCAATATTAATGTAAAATTTAAAAATAACCTAAGTGTTTATTGGCTGTATGGATTCATAAAATGTCAGTAAAGGGCTACAGTGGGTACTTGTGCAAAGTCAGTATAGTCCGAGTTTTTGCATCCACTATACCTTACTGTGTGTGTGTTTTAAACTTTAATGCAGTTGTTGTTCTTGTGGTATTATCACATCTAACTTTGTTCTTTTGACATTTTTTAGGTTTTACTGCGATCACAACAACTAATCCCATTTGGTTGGTAAAGACACGATTACAGCTTGATGCCAGGTATGGTGACAATGGGAAATATCACTGCTGGGATCAAGTTACACCGAAGTGTTGGGATGTTCTCTATCCCGAAATAGAATTAATTTTTAAACAGTCAACATTGCAGATTTGGAAAGTTGATGCTGATCTACCTACAAGTTATACTCTCATATTTACTATTTTAATCTCCATTCTGAGGTATGCTTGAAGCACTATAGTAGACTGGCCAGAAAACTTGGAATTAATTACAAGGTTAACAGTCCCATTAAAATAAGTAGATTTTGGTGCTATGTACAACCTGATTTCATCTTGTACCTCTGCTTGTTTTTTACTGAATAGTCAGTTAAACTTCTTAAACTACAGGGCTTTAAAGAAATTAGGGAAATTATGGATTTCTTGTGCACAGTATTTCTCTGCATTATATCAAGCACATTGTTCATATTGAGACCTGAAGAAGGATCTTTGTATAATACTGTGGTTACCTGGGCTAGTCAAGCACGTACTGCATTCTCAGCTCTTCTAATTCAGTTGTTAGTAGAGGCATAAAACCACTTGGTCTGTGGGATTATCCTGGCCTGATCTTGTTTCTATTGAAGTTCTCAAAAATGATCCCAGTAAGAACTGGAGAAGGCTTATGTTCTGTTCTCAAAGTGACATTGCTTTGACCTTCAATACAATGTTGTGCATCTTGGGCATCAGAAGAGCAAATACTTGCAGCAGTTTGTCAGTGCACCAGTCCAGGTGTACAGGCACATGTGGGGACTGGGAGTGTCCCTGAAGCTGCAGCTCCAGCTGCTCTTCTCACCAGCTCCTTCCCAGTTTTCTGCAGTGTCCTCTGCCCGGCTTACTCAGTCTCCAACTTGCAGCTCTATGTGCTCAGTCTTTCTCTTAAACCTTGTAATGTTCATTGCATTTAACATTGCAGGTTCAAACCATCAAGACCTAAATTCTGCCATCCAGTGATGCCTCTTACTGCTTATATAATAGTTGCTGCCAGGGTCTGTCTTGTTCTGACGGTGTCCATGAGTTACCATAACTTCTTACAGGGTTATTTGCTGTTTTGTTCTGTGGCTGTCTCACTCGGACCCCTACTGGCACAATCCATATATTCCGAGTGCCTACACTCATGGCTGTAGGGAAGCACGTCTTGTGCAGTGTTGTAATGGTTTTGTGTATCTGTGTATAATGTGTGTGGCAGGTTGAACCTGGCTGGGTGTCAGACACCCACCAAAGCTGCTCTGTCACTCCACAAGTGGACAGGGGGGAGAAAATATAACCAAAGGCTCATTAGTTGAGATAAGGACTGGGAGAGATCACTCACTGAATACTGTCACAGGCAAAACAGACTTGACTTGGGGGATATTAATTGAATTTATTATGAACAAAATGAGAGCAGCAGGATCATGAGAAGTAAAATAAATCTTAAAAACACCTTTACCCCACTGCTCCCTCCTTCCTGAGCTCTGTGTCTTCCCCCTCAGCAGCACAGGGGGATGGGGAATGGGGGTTGTGGTCAGTTCATCACATATTGTTCTTGCTGCTGCTCAGGGAGAAGTCTCCCCATGCTCCAGTGTGCGGTCCCTCCCACAGGAGACAGTCCTCCAGGAACTTCTCCAACATGAGTCTATCCCACAGGCAACAGTTCTCCGTGAACTGCTATAGCAATCTGCACTCTTCTGTAGAGTGCAGTCCTTCAGGCACAACCTGCTCCAGTGTGGGTCCTCCACAGGGTCACAAGTCCTACCAGGACCCTGCTCCAGCATGGGTTTCCCACCTCCTCCCCATCCTTCTTCACTGACCTTGGTGTCTGGATGGTTGTTCCTCTCACATATTATCACTCTGCTCTTCTCTGGCCACAATTACATCTGCACAATAACTTTTTTTCCTTCTTGAATGTGTTGTCCCAGAGGCATTACTGTCATTCCTGATTTGCTGGCCTTGGCCAGTGATGGGTCCATCCTGGAGCCAACTGGCCTTGGCTCTGCTGGACATCAGGGAAGCTTCTGGCAGCTTCCCACAGAAGCAACCCCTATATCCCCCCTGCTGCCAAAACCTGGCAACATAAACCCAGTACACATGCTAAGTATTTCAATATGCACAACTCAATTCAATAAGCAAGCTCAAAATGGGAATAAAATTTTATTTGCCAAATACTGCTTGATACAGTCACGTCTAATGAGCATTTTCCTTGACATCAGCAGTGGCTTAGTTGAGTCAAATAACAGCTACCAGTGTTGCATTGGTTGATGTGCTAGTTGTTTGCTGAGAGCTGTAATGCTGTGGGGCCTGCTGTTCAAACTCTTACCCACTGTAATTACCATGCTATGGACCACTTTATTTCGGGCAACACTTAGGGGAAATCCATTATGCAAAAGAAAATGATGATTTTTCTCATGAGTCACTAACATTGACAGCCCATTTGGGAGTCTGTTTTCAAGCAGTTTAATCCTTTATTGCAGAGCTGGGGGGGCTTAGCGCTGTTGAACCTGTCTACATGATACTTTTTTCTTTAGTCAGCATATGAAGTTTGGCTTGGATTCCATGTAGTGCTTTACCTGTGTTTAGTGCCAAAGGTCTTTGAGACTTTCAAGTTCTGTGTGTTCTTAACAGTATCTGACTTGGAGCTCCTCAACATCAGCGTTGGTTATTTCCTAAGTCTTCTCATCACTCAAAGAAAAACTGTTTAACTATTGTCCAGTCCCAAGTTGCACCAGTTGATATATGACTTGTTTTCTCCTTTTAGGAATCGTGGAGAAAAGCGAATGAGTGCTCTTGAGTGTGTCCGAAAAGTTTATCGATCAGATGGCGTTAAAGGCTTTTACAGAGGAATGTCAGCATCCTACGCAGGCATATCTGAGACTGTTATTCATTTTGTTATTTATGAGAGTATTAAGAAAAAACTGCTGGAGTATAAGACTGCTTCTCCAATGGACAGTGAGGATGAGTCGGCAAAAGAAGCATCGGACTTTGTGGGAATGATGATGGCTGCTGCCACTTCCAAAACTTGTGCAACATCAATAGCATATCCCCATGGTAAGTGGGGCATGTAGAGTTGAGAACCTGAGTCAGATCCACCAGAGGGAGTCTTTTCAGTGATATTTGTAGCCAGCTTTGGTTCACTTGCTCAAGAAATATTTCTTTGTCTAAAGCTTTTCACATCAGATTTGGCAGGTCAATGTGAGTGTGGTATTCAAAAATGGAAGTACTTTAAAGTGGGTGTCTAGCATGGCCTTCTCTTAGGAAATCTTTATTTTGCCAAAGGTTTACCAGGGTGTGGCCCGAAGTACTTAAGGAGATCCGCTTTCAATTGCAATCTATCTACTCAGCAATTTTCCATTATTTTCCAGCAAGTTCTTGTCTCCCTTCTAGAAAAACAGGCTGTCTAGTTTGTGTTTCAGTTGTACTTGATTCCCCTGCAAAATAATTGTGTATCCATGAGGTTTGTTAATGGACTGAATACTAAACCAGTGTCAACTTCTGAGCTAAAATGTAAGCCCAAACAACAGTCCTTTTCTGGACTGTAACTAAGCAAATCAATTTACCTTGTTCAGTCAGGTATCTAATGCTGCTGAAAATGTAACTTGTTTTCTTCTCTACACATACTTGGTTTGCTACTCCTTTTTTTTTTTTTTTTTTAAAGAGGGGTTCTGAGATTGAGAACTTGAGGAGGGGGATTTTCATGTAACAAATCACTGATTGGTTTCTGGGAAAAATAATGCAAAGTGGTGAATGTAACCACATGTGGTTTTCTTTGTACAGAGGTTGTACGAACAAGACTAAGAGAAGAGGGAACAAAATACAGATCTTTCTTCCAGACACTGTCTTTGCTCGTGCGAGAGGAAGGGTACGGATCCCTGTACCGAGGCTTAACCACGCACCTGATCAGACAGATCCCAAACACAGCTATCATGATGTCAACCTATGAAGTTGTAGTCTACTTGCTTGATGGATAGCAGTGTGACAAGGCTTCCTGGAAGAAGGTGGAAGATGGAAAGACTGGAGTGGACCACTGAATGTCAGTGCCAATGTGGTGGGCAAAAGGAACGCTATATCAAGAAAAAGCAACTGTAGACAAAACAGAAGGTTGATTGTGGGCAACTATGAATAATTTTGCTGCCTTATTGTGTGGTCTCTTGGCAGTGTGACAAATAGGAACTGCCGCTTAAGGAATGCCTTCATACATCTCTTAATTCAAAATTATTACTTCCTTTTCATCTCTTAAGCTAGACAAAACCATGGAGTCATCTTCAGAGACCTGATGGGTGAGGGAGGGAAGATAAGATATGTTCTTGGGCAGCCTTATTCACTTTTCTTAGTGATTGTTCTGTTTTAATTCACAGTAACCTGTTGGAAGAATGGACAAGACAGTACTTTTGTAGATTTCTATACCTGAAGGTTCATAAAGAGACTGAGGTAGTAGTCAGTGTGTAAAGTTTTCCATGTTGCTACCTCAAGACAAAATATGGTGCAGGGACCCAGAACAGAGTTATTTCTTCACTACAAAAGGTGATACTTTTTGTAGTTTTTAGTTTGCTTATGGTTGGGTTTCCCCCCCTTACATTTTGAGCAGTGTTGTAGGTTAGCAAGAGAGAATCTGATTACTGAACTCTTCAGGTTATCAGTCTGTTAATACTGGATGTATGTGGATTTCTGGTTCTGCTGTATTGTCTTTTTTCTTTTTTGGAACTGTTGTTAAGTTAGAGAGACCTATGAAACATTGTCCTATATCATCAGTTTTCCTTGCCAACCTGTTCAGGTCACTCACACAGCTAAGGAAGAAGTTGGTGAATGCTACTTTATAGCCTTCTTAAGGATTTGTAATGTGATCAGAAATCTTAACTAGTCCAGCCTCCTGTTTGTGAAGACAGGATTGACAGATAGTTTCATGCTGCCTAAGCACAAACTGTATTACCCTTAAATGTCTGGATTACCTATACTTTTATGGAAGTACTGAGAGAGAGCACATATCACTGTGGCTAAGGTGACCAGAAAGCAGAAACCAGTTGAAGCTGTGATAGATCTTTTCAGTGCAGACAGGCTCTGTGCAGAAGAATGGAGAAAATTGCAGTTGAGATTTTCTTGAAAGCATTCCCCTTGATAATTGCTGTATCACATCTGTCAGCTTGAACCTGTGTCCTGAACTGCAGCTGACGTTGTAACCTTGTCCTCTACATTGTCTGAATATTCAGACATTGTTTTTACTCCATAAGCCAATAGCAAAACAATGACTTGCATTCAGCAGCGAGGCTTAGCTGGTTTTTTGTCATGATTTACGGAGTTTTCCAAAATCATACAACTGAAGTTTTAAAAAGTTGAACGTTACAGGAACTTTTACAGCTTTCTAGGTATTCTGCAGTCTACAGCCATTATCCTTAGGAGGAAGATGATCATTATAAATTGGGGGCAATAGCTTTCTACTCATAAATGCTGCTACACTGGCATGGACAGAACTGTGCTATCAACTCTTCCAGTGTGGTACTTCAGTACACTTGAACTGTGCATTGTGTGCAATGGCTTTATTTTATGAATGACTTCTTATGCACTTTGCGGCCTTCTTAGGGCTTATGAATTTTCTTCCTCTTACTGCTTATCTGTAGCCAAACTGTGTTTGAAATATGCAGTTGGGTTTTAAGCAAAGCATGTGGTTTGATTTCTGTGTAAGCTGTGCAAGAGTTCATGCTGTAGATCCATGGCATCTCTGCAGTGGTTCTGTAGGCTCTATGTAAAAGCTCAAAGCTTGCAGAACAATCAGTCTGGGTTTTTCTCATTTTCTTGTCTTAATTTTGACCCTTGTCATGTTCTCCACACAGTGTCAAAGTCCTTGAGTATTTAATGTTATTTTCTATATTAATTGCTCATCCTCTAAAAGCTATCCATAGTGTGTACAGTGACCTTGCAATGCAAAATTGACTTCCCTTCTTGGAAAATGTTATCTTTTTAAAGACATAGCGTGGTCTGAGATGTGACCATGGTGACTTGATTGTCCCAAAGAAGTGAAAGGAGTGCTTAAATGTGTTCTAAAGTGGGCTTTTTCTAGTGGTCTCTCCAGGAAAAGTCTGGAGTATTCATGACTCTGACCCAAGCCTTGCTGTGATGCCATTGTTCAGGAATAGTGACTTACTGTAACTTTTGTTGTGTGGAAAGTGGGTCACTCTCCAGGCTATCCAGATAGTTCAGTCACAGCCAAAACTTAGATTCAGCTTTGGAATTCATGAATGTGATAATCACTTGGATTTGCCGAGGCTTCATGAGAGTTACTCTCCTGTTTGGATACATTGTCCCTTGGTTCCATGTTTGTCTCCCATGAATTCCCTGGGTACTGTGTGTGTGTGCCTTCTCTGGGGGAGAGCAGAGCCCCTTGGGTTGATATGGACACGTTAACAAGGACAACTGAATACGGGAGGCAGCAGCTTAAAGTAGACAATCAGTTTATTATTCCACTTCTTTAATGGATGTTCCAGCTTTGTTTTAAGTTTCAGGGGTGATCTTTTGGATTTGCTTTACATAACCAAACATAACCCCAAAATTTCTTGGGATTTTTTGCTATTTTTTAGACTATCGGTACCTACGAAGTTACCTCTGAAATATTTCCCAAAGATCTGTAAATTATTTATATAGTTTTCTTCATATTTATTATAAAAAGTCAAAGGGAATAAAAAGATGCTACATTCAATAATATCTTTAAGTACAGAGCTGAAAGGAGTGCATTTAAACTGGCCATCTTGATTTGTATTTGAGTGTCGTGTATTTGTGTCACACTTGTCTGTGCTAGAGGCAGAGGTCTGGGATGTCTGAAACTCAGTAATTAATTGGCTTCCCGCTATTTCCCTCACCTGGGTCAGACCGAACTGGTTGGGTGCGGGAGGCTGCAGTTCCCCGGCGCGGCCCGCAGGTGGCAGCGGAGCACTCCCGCTCTGCTGAGCCGCGCTGGGAACACGGCGAGGAAAAGCCGTGGAAAATTGATTCCCGTGAGCGCAGACACATTCCTGAGCCCCTCCTGTCCGTTCGGCTCCTGCAGTGCTGTGTGGAAACAGCTCAGCTGGGGTGTCTTGCGAGGGACTGAGCCCAGCCTTTCACCTGATGGACAGATTTTTTTTTTTTTGTCCGAATTTCTGGTCTGCTCCTCTGTGTTGTTTGAAGTAGGTTTACAGTAGGGAGCTGTGGAGTTCTTGGTTGTTCTGATTGTAACTGAAACATCACCTGTCCATTTGTATATTAACACTGAACCGATCTAGTTCTGTTTACATAATGCACTCCGTATATTCCCTTGCTGATTGAGATGTTAATGACATCTGATTGTTTGTTAATGACAGTTTTTCTGGTTTTCGTATGGCCTCTGTAACATTCCTCAGACTGTAGCATTGTAAAAGGATGCTTCCAGAGACAAAACATTGGAGAGCCTTTATAGGTGTTGCTTCCTGTTTAAACTGTTCAAGTTTGGAAACAAGCAGAATGCTGAAGTGTGCCTAGGTAAATGTACTCTTTTCAACTTTCTGTTTGTTAAGACTGAGTTATGTTTTTTCGGTTCTTCTATTTAAGAGTCTGCCTGCCCTGCATATGTGAACATAACTACACCCTCAGAGTCATAGCTAAACACTCACAGATGACAGTTTGAGAATACTTCAATGCTCATGTGAGGTTTGCTATTATTCTTGCATACATGTAGTTGGCTGTAAACTATGTGCATTTACTCTGTATTTATATAGTTAACTTTTTTGTTTGGATTGCTTTAAACTTCAAAGCAAATTAAAATGATGTGCTTCTCTTCAAATGTTGCCTTCTGTGCTAAACTGTACACTGTTTTTAACCTTTGAATTTTTCTATTATTGATACATACCAGTGCCTGGAGAGTTGTGATTAAAAATGAGCAATTCATTAGGAGATCCTAGTGAGTCATTTTATCTTGTGCCATTTTATAGTAGCTGGAAAGAGTGTATCTGTATTGTACCTATAATATGGTCTTCTGGGAGGGATTCATGAATGACTTAAACTAGTAGAATGTGTCTGCAGTTCATTTGAATACTGCTACCTCTGCAGAACTAAGTGGTTCTGCCTGTCAACTGAGATTCAATAACTAGTACAAACCACTGCTGCCAAAAATAAAAAGGAAGGGCTTGAATTCCTTAAAATCTTCAGAGTTAACTGCAAGTGCAGTTATAACCAAGTTCTTGAATCATTGTTAGATACTAATTTTCTTACAGTATGTTGTGTTTGATCTGAAGTCTGTCCACAGAACTTCCTCACAAATTGTTCTGCAGATGTAGGGTTTTGTTTGGTGATTGTGTACTCTTTTCTTCCCCCTCAGTGTGTGTTCTGGAACTAAACCTTTGCAGCCTTTAATATGGGACCTGGCTTGATGTCTGATTTGATTCTTTTAGCTATTCAGAACTACTTCAAAACTTGCATTAAATCAGCGCATCTGTGATAAATTTTTTTTTCAGTGTTAATGTCAATTGACCTACCTTGCTCTCTGTAGCTTCCAGGTCAGCCAGGCTTAGGGGTGATCAGTCCTCTGGAACCAGTACAGGCAACCAATATGTGTATCCCTGGTGCATCTGAAATTATGCCTCTGACTGGCATAACTGGAATTGTCTGTTATTGATCTTTCACTTCTACCCACATTGGCAGGGCTGAGCTCAGGTGAAGCCTTTGAGGATGTATTTTGTCCATCTGCTTTACTACACCTTCTGCTGGAAGGGTCCTGTTAGGCTTGCCGTGGTCAACAAGCATGTGTATAAAATGAAGGTGTATTTAAAGTGCTAATTGATTGTGGCTTGGCGTTAATGCAGCAGTATAGTCTGACATAGATGCAACCTAAAAGCACGTAAGGCTTAACAATGACCTCTTTCACAAAAGAAAACCCTTGAATTTGATAATGCACTTACACTAAAATAAAATGTACTTCCAAAGACAAACCCTCCTCTCATCTTGTATGTGCTGTTGCCAGCCACTGTGCTTTGTGCTGACTCAGAACATCCTAATCTTCCTGCACAGCTTCTGTGAAAGGCAGGAAATGCCAGGACAGGAATCTAGTTCTCATGAGCAAATTGATGCAAACAAAATGGTGCCTTGAACTGTGGGAGATGTATTGGATATTGGAGCAGAGGAGCTTCTGTTTTTGTAGATGGAATGTTTCAAGGGATGTTCTTAAGACTGGGCTCACTAATGCAGAGATAGTTGTCACTGATGGAATTGTGTGAAGAGAACTAGAAGCATTCAAAGACAAACTCCACACGGTGAAAATTACTGCTAATTCTGGGTAGACCTCTACAAAGGGAATGTTTCTTCCTTTATCTGTGGCTGTTTGGAAGCTGGTAGCTTCTCCTAATCCTGCTTCTGCAGCAGACACTTGGGATGGACTGAGGATATACATGTGGAAATTCTCTGGAATGTAACCAAAATGCAAAGCACTCTGTTCTGAGACTTGGTCATCCATTCAGACTTTTGAAAACAGGTATACAATGTGCAAGTGTGGCAGCAAATATCTTAAGGACCAGCAAAGTAAGATTAAATAACAGTGCAAAATGTGTATTCAGTCAGTTACAAAATACTAATGAGGATTTTTGCTCTAGGCCAGGGGTGTCGCTTTTTCAGTTGGTCAGAAGACTCCATATATAGTTTTCAACAATGATCACTGTTGCCTATTTAAAAAAAAATACAATTCCAGCATACTAAATGGAAGCATAAAACAGCATTTTCTTTTGTATCTGTAAATCTCAGACTGACTTAACTTGGGGTACATTCACAGCTCTGCTTTATCACACCTATAAAAGAGAGAAGGTTATAAAAAGTGATCATAGAAAGAAGTGTATGTATCCTGCCAGAGCATGGTGTTTTACAGAAGAAAAAACTTAGAAGGGTAAGTACTATGGGTGAAAGCATTAAGCTGCAGGACCTGCTGCTACAAAATGAACTATTTGCTGGCTGTTTGCTTGGATATAAGAAAGCTTTTAATGATCAGTGCAAAACAGTCTTATATAATAGTGAGAGCAGGAAGGAAGAAGGCACTTCAGAGTGCCTGAGCAGCACATGAAAGGGATGCCATGATCTGGTGACCTGTGATAGCTCAGACCTAAATGGTCTCTTCTGTGTGTTTCGTAGGGATTAGGCTCTCTGTTTATGGGGGAATTAATCACACTGTGTTTGGGGGCTGTGTGGGGCTTGTTCCAGGAGAATTCATGGAAAAGATGAATTAAGACTTGTCCTACCTACTTCCCCCTGCCTTTCACCCTCAGAACCAACCACTCAAAGAACTTTTCTTTCTGACATCTCCATATATATGTATCTTTAATCAGTTTGTCACTTTAACTGAACAACATAATTTATTATGTTGCTGATCTGAATTTTTCCTGGTCTTATGCCACACACTGCTGTTCTGCAAGCATTTTATTTTTGTCCTTGTCTGAGGAATGACACTGTTGTATGCAAAGGTGTTAGGAAACAATATATGGTTTTTTAAGGATATATCCTTCTGGGCTGGTTCAGCCTACTGCATTCCTGTTGCATACAGTTGTTCTCTACCAGGGAAAGGATTTTGTAGATTTAAAGTCATTAGAAGGGGTGAGAAGGTAATGTGATTGGTTTTGTTTAGTATTGTTTTCATAGCAGCAAGTTAGATGTATAACAATATTTTTAAATGGAGAAAGTGGCCCCTTTCTCTGTAATTCTCACCTAAGGGAATAAAGCTCTCAGAGTACAGCTTTGCAAAACTTTTATCCAAATTTAGCTGTGCTAGATTCTTTCATTGAGAAGGTGATAGTATGAGTACTTTCCAGGGCCACATCAGACTTTGTGCTGTCTATAGCTCTTCAACATGTCCAGAAGAATGTCCAGTAGAAACACTTCCCTGGAGTGGAGGGAGTTACATTATCTTGTGTTGCCACTGTAAATGTTTCTGGCCTTCACAGTGACTGAAGGACTTGCAAGTTGATTTGGGGAACTCCAGCTGGATTCATGCTGGATATGTTTAAAGGCTTGAGAATATGCTTTCAATTACTTGAAACAAGAATGATCTATTATCATTTACACATTTTCCTAAGAGACTAGCTGAGGGGAAAATACTGAAAAATTACAACCATTCAACTATGCTTGTGGGGTGGTCTGATATTATTCCCTAATTCATTCAGGCAACAGACAAAGATTTAAAGTGCTTTCTTTGTAATACTAAAAAAAAAACCCAAACCCACCGATATAAAGAATATTGACCTTTCCCCATTAGAGAGAAGAATATCTGCCTTAGTCCTTAACTGTTATAAACTTAGGGGACTCTTGCCAAAACTTTATAGCTTGGATGTAAATGGAATATTGCCTCTCAAGCAACAGCAGCTCAGAGCTGTTAAAACCACACACACTGAAATGCCTTGACCACACAGGGGTGAACCAGTTTGAGCTAACATTTCCCCAGAGCTCAGGTCAGCCACAACTATACTTTGTTCCCATCACCTTCTTTCCCAGGGTAAAAAATTGTTTCCTTATGGCAGTGCAGCGACACTCGTGTGGTCCTCAGATACAATGGGATATTTCTGTGGGACAGCATTCTGGTAGTGCTTGGGATCTGAGCTTTTTGCTTGGGCTGTCACTTATCTCACCCTGCTCCCCCTCCACAAAAAGGTGTTCAGAATTAATTTGGGAGGGATGGGAGTTTTAGAGATGGCAGATGTGGAAAGATGCTGACAGATAAGTAAAAGTTCTGGCTTACTGGAAAAGACAAAAGGCATTATCACCCCCTCCTTTCTAAATAGCTCGAGAAACATAAATCTTCATGAAACTTTGAGCTTTATTCTTCCCTAACTGTGGAAAGACCTCTCATTATTCAAATGGAGAGTTGACAACATGTAGTGGCAGTATCTGTTAAGCTTCCTGTTCCTGAACAGGAAATAACATTGGAATTCTGCACTGTAAATCCCTTCCCAAAGAAGGATTGGGGCAAAGAGACAGTGAGTCCCTGTTTCTTCCAGATGGTATGGTTTTGAGCTGCTTCTTTGACTCCCTGGGCTGAATAAGGCTCTGAACTGATTCTGTATTCAGAGTTCCATACTGCACACACCTTAGTCGATTCTATCCAGTCTGTCTAGTTTGCATGTTCTGGAAAATAAGTAAAGGAATTTTCCTATACCTGGTTTCTCCTCAACCTCGTGTCCAAATGCAACTTCGAAGGGAGATATGGGGTAAAGCTGCAGCAATTCCTAGGCCTCTTCATGCACTCAGTGTCACCCCTCCTTGCTCAAGCCAGTCATGAAAGTAAGATGGAGAAGGGATGAGTTTAAACTGTTAACAAGGAACAAAAACTGCTTAGGTCTCCTCCTGATTTGACTTTGCATCTCTTTATGAGATGTTTATTTCCTTATGAGTGTTTATACAGTTTTTCTTTTGAGTTGTAGATTTCTGATGTTAAAAGTGGTAATGGATGGAGAAAGCAGGATTAGCTCACTAGGTACATCTGTTTTCTGCAAGAAAACTGAAGTCAACATTGAAAAAAAAAAAGTCTAACAGTAACATCTACAAACATCCTGAACTGACAGACTAAACAGCATTCTTGGGACTGAACAAGAAGCCTGGTAGTCTCTGCTAAAGGCAGGGTAAGAGCAGAATGTCAGCAGAATCACCCAGAAAAATAATAGATGAGCTATATAGAAGAAAATGAGAGAATTGTTTAGGTTGGAAGGGACCTTAAATTCATCTAGTTCTAACCCCCCTGCCATGGGCAGGGGCACCTTCCACTAAAATGAGTGATTTTCATACTTAACCCAGCTAATTCATTCTCTTAACTGAAAATAAGGCAAAGACAAAGGAAAAAAAATCGAGGTATTAGTCAACAGAGCTTTGCATAAGGCAAAATGAATTCTCACCCCACAGTAGGGAATAATCTTGCAGTAGTGTTC